ATTAGATTTTTAATAGCTAGGAATTTGTAATAGATGCATAACCAAACTGAATTTAGGTAGGTCAAAGTGCTGATTATTTTTGAAAGCTTTTATTCTCTAAAAGATCTGCCTTGCGATTCTGGAACTCACTTTTCGAACTCACACAGCGGCGTTTTGCCGTAGTCATTTAACGATTTGGCATTCTGACTGCTTCACGACTGATTTGAGCGCGACCGCCGCTGTGAAAACCGCTGTGAGAGTTCGAAAAGTGAGATACAGAATCGCAAGGCTGTTTGTCGAAAGTAGCGTTTCTTACAAACTGGCTCGCTCTTAAAGCTTCCAATTTAAACTGAAAGGCTTTATTCCCGTTTGTTAGCTTATTAAAAAATTGTTAAATTAGTAAAATAATCAGCGAATTATAGCACAGAAAGGTGAACATTAATTTATAAAGATTTGGACTTTATAGAAAAACGCTTTTTACCGGATTAAAGTTATGTTTATTATTATAAATTTACAACTATTTGACATAATTTTAAATTATATCAAATAGTTGTTATTGTCACCGTGACCACGCACGCTGTAAAGCACGCGAAACGTCGGATAAATTTAAAATTATGTCAAATAGTTGTAAATTTATAATAATAAACATAACTTTAATCCGGTAAAAAGCGTTTTTCTTTAAATGTGTAAAGGTTATGTTAATCAAAGACAATTTGGACTTTATTCTAAAACACTAGCGACCAAGGCTATAAAGTTTTGGTTTTCAACATAGGCATTCATTAAAATGAGTTCAGCAGTTATCGCAATATAAAATTATAGTATACAATGCCATTAAGTGATTTCTGTAAGTATAATTATATCTCAAAAACATTAAGTGCTAAGGAAATTATAAATCCATAATAAATCAAGCAGAGCTTATGAATAATAGCTCTGAAAAAACTAGTACAAACAAGTAAGGCCAGTATCTACGATTACATGTTCGCTAAGAACTCTTTACCCTGTGTTTAGAATCCTGTCGATTCATTTATTGTACAGAAATATGGCGTTAAAACAAGACATTAAGGGTTATATATAGAAACGAGAGCACTAAGCGTGACTCTTATATCTTTTTATAGAAAACGAGCCAGCGGGTCGCTCATAAAGGGTCAACGCAGCCCATGAACACTCATTATAGTGGGTGCGATGCCGGCCTTTAAGGGATAAGGGAAGGGAAGGAATATGCTCCACAGTTCCAGGGGGACCGCGGAAGACTTTCAGCCATCATCATGCGGATGAAAATTGATATTAATACGGCTCGTACTGAGATGAAACGAGGCAGGAGGGATCAACCCAAACAACTCGCCATAGAACACTTTGTAGAAAACAGATAGAGACGCAATGTCTCTGCGTAGAGAGAGAATCAAGCCGATCAGTAATACATTGAAGATTGAGTAGCCCATCGCTAAATTTGGTCAAAAGGAAGAAGCTGGTATTTAAGTGCGTATAGCATAAGCGTATGCCAAAAACGTAATGGACTTAGATAGGGAGTCATAGATCGCTTTAGTTCTCGTTTCTGATCCTACCTTACATAAATAACTTAGAAACCAAACCAAAGTGTACGTGTTAAAATACTCGTGATTTTTGGTGTTAGCCTAGTGGGTACACAATGAGAGCATTATTTCTCGTCCTTGGAGTGCGTTCCAGTCAGCTGTTTATACAACACCGTAGAGCCACAGTCTAATTACCACTTTAAAGTAGAAAACAATATTTGTCCCTCGATAGTCTAAGGTCTTGAAAGAATATTGAAAGACACATGTAGTCAAGTAAAAAAACAAAACACTGAAAAACAAAAACAATTGTAGATTGGCTTCAATCAAGTGTGTGCGGACAGTATAATCAAAGTATTCATTTACAGTTAATAGAAGATCACTGAAATTAATTATGGTGTGCATGTTGTTCCTTCGCCTTCCTTGAGTGAGATGGTTAAGAGAAAGGAGAAATAGGAAGAGGTCCATTCGAACCCTTGCAGCTAGTGACTGCAATTGTAGCTCAACGAATCCATCCACAAACATAATTAATGAAGTTACTGTAAATTTAGCTAACAATTTAAATATATCGAGTCTTTTTTATAGTAAACTAGCAGACTCGGCCAAGCGTTGCTGGGGCTAAGGTTTTTGTTATATTACATAGTAGTAAACTATTCAAGAGAAACGGTATTTTTGGTGGTTATGATATTAAATTGTAGCTTATGTGGAAAGTTGGTACTTTCAACACAGCGCGATCTGTTAGAATTGTGACTGTTAAATAATAAACAAATAATTTGCAATAAACTGCGGGTATAAATTGAGATGTAAGCTATCCTATCTTTTAAGTTAGATCAAATTGCACACGATGTGCAAATTCGATGGAAATCGGTTTATAGTTTAGGAGTCCATAGTGGACAAACAACGTGACGCGTAATTTATATATATTAAGACTAGATGGCGCTGGCTGTACTCGAAATCGCGCTATTAGAGTATTGGATTGAAGCCTACATTTGTAGCAAGGGTGCAGGCTCATGTGCAGCGTTTCAAAGATGTATGAAGTCCAAAAGACTAAACCATAATCTAGTTTGAATTTTTGACGACTCAACTCGGAGTACATCTATCATCCGTGAAGTCATTCTATAAATATATATACTATGATGTACTTGTCCAACTTAAATTTTTATTAAATTTATGGCTTATTTATATAATTGGCAAATATTTTGGATTCTACACGACTCTAATAGTGTTTTTATCATTGAACGTCATGTACACTGTGGTCAAATATTGATGCAAAGTAAACAAAATAATGGTCACTGCATGTGGATATGTTTACTGCAGAAAGATATTTGATGACCTGATGACTTGGCATGGGAAAATGTTTAGTATAGAAACGCGTTAATATTTTTTTTATTACTTATGTACATATTGAATATCACTAATTTGCTTGTGAAATTCAATGAAATACTTCTTTAAAGTAGGCAATACATTAATTCTATTTACTGGAACGTGAATGGGATTACGTCTTAAGTTTTTAATAAATAATCAGAAAACCTAGCTTCAAGACCTAATTCATAATATTTTTTTAAGTTTGTGTCCTTGAAGTCACTTACATTAGAAATGTGTATCAGTTCACTGGTTTTACAGGGTATTCACTACACTCAGGGCTTATTAGTCCTTCTGAGTCTCCATCATCATCTTCATGGTACCTATTGAGATTCAAATTCAAAAATCATTTATTCATATAGGTAACACAATGTACACTTATGAACGTAAAAATAATATATATGAAATGCTTCTAATTTTACATTTACTGCCAGTTCGAAAATCAAGGGCGTAGAACGGAAGAGAACAACTGGCAATAAACTCTCCGCCACTCTTTTTAATCGCCAAGTTTTTTGTTTTACACAACGTTTGTAAACTTGTTATTAATAATATTAAATAGAAAGACTGTGCGGACCTAACATTCACTTTTCAAAGATTATACGTATATTCTGTCATGAGATTCAAGCATATGTTGTTGTGTTGATAGTTTGTGTCACGCAAGCATATAAGTGTGGTTATTGGTAATCTGGATGGAGCTGTGGGCGCTGAGAATGTGGATATTTTGGGCTATTATCGTTCGCCCACGCGCACCCATTGGCAGAAAAATGTTACAGAAATACAGCGGCCCAGTTCACATCTTGCATCTCTGATCCTGACATTGAGCTTTCACAAGGAGACCTTAATTCCAAAATCCGTGAATCTTGCCGCTTGCCGAATTAGGAGCCTAATTAGGAACCGGAAGAATATTTTTCTAGAAAGGCCGTTTTTAATTTAGTATATTTGTATAATAGTTAAAGTATTTTTTATCTAACGCCGTATCTCTCAATCTATCACTTATTTTGTTCGTATTTTAATTGCCTTCTTATTGTGTATCACAAGTCTAATGGAAGATCTGTGTTCAAACGAATATCCTTCCATGTTTCCGGTGGTTAAAAATGTTCTTGAAAGATCTCCACGCACAGTTCACCATCTCAAGTTTTTTATGAACTCGCTTGGCTTCGTACTGGTAGCAAAGTCTATTAGGAAATGCTTTTATCCACGAAGCTTTTGACTTGTTTTTGAGGTTAGATTTAAGATAATTGTACAAATTTAATGCAAAAGTTATTAGAAAACGAACATTAAAAAGATCGTCTACTTTTCAAAAAATATACGCGAATGAACTCCGGTCAATAAGCATATACGATAAAACATATACTGGCGTTAGTAAAGAATTGAGATACTGTATATATAACGCTATGTATAAGGCAAGCAGACCGGCCGGTTTTGATACTTGGCGCGATTAAAAATCGTTACAACTTCCGTTCCACGACTCGGAGCGAGGCTCAGATAAAAAAGATAAATAAAAAAATAACAAAGATCGATACGGCGGAGCTACCTGTTTTTTTCCCCGAGCTTAGTGCTTGAGGCTATTGCGTGCTAATATCGTGGTCAGCGATTTCACTGATTATTTTTATAACTTTAACCAAAACTTAATTATGTGTCCTATAAATTTTTTAGTTGTAAATTTGTTTGTGATGTTTAGTACCCATTATATTATTATTATAACTAAGGAGAGCTTTAATGAGGTTTCTAAAGTACATGTACACATTATTTAGTAGCTATTAAGGTTGCACTTATTAATAAATGAGAGAACTACATCAAATTTATAACCAGTATAAAAAACATAAAAAATAATTTAAATTCAGTTTCTCTTTACAGTTCCTTAATTTATATTGGTCATTATCGAAGTCACCATTACCATCATAATCATTAGACATTATAACGTGTAGTCTACATGACGTATGAAGCGGCAAATTAATGATGCCATAAATGCTTTCTTATTTACATACCGTATAGGAGTACGATCCAAGTATAGTTTAGAAATGTTAGCGGCGCTCTTCGAAACGAATTAGCATCACATGATGTCACGCATCCGGCTGCATCTATCAATCGAACGGTCATTTTTCACTGCAACCGGTAATAAAATATATCGGATTAATAAAAGATTTGGTCGAGAGCAGACATCGACAATTTCGAGCGCCATGATGATATTGTGATGGTGTGCGTGGGCCGAGCGGAGAGCGGCATATCAAGTCTGGTAACTATGCGGCGTAACTCCGGTAGCAGTGCAACAGGTCTGGCGAGGGGGACGCGCGCGGGGTCCGGAGGGCGGTAGGAAATCCTTCGCTGACGAGCGCACACCGCCTCATGCGCATGTGTGCGCCATCCGGTTCGGTTTGCGTGTGTGCCGTGTACATTGACCGTGCAAGTGTATTGGTGCGTATCGAGCCGATCGATCAATGAGCTCGACACCGACTCGACTGTTGCCTGCATGCAACTCATTGATTAACGCTATGAACGTGGAATTGTTTATTCATTCATGATGAATATTTTTATTTCAAATGAACGGTTTTCTACCCATATCCTGTAGGCCTCCTTAAAAGATCGAGAGCACAATGCAAAAAGATCTGATCGGTTGACCACTACGATGCAAGAATTACAAACATATAATCTGAATCTTCTTTTACACTGACTAAAGACATTTAGATAGTCTACAATATTTTCAAGTATACATGACATAAATATACAATAAAAAATTACTGAGAGTTTAAATGCAATTATTTTTTATTTGCAGGTGCCAACAAGCAAAGTATCCCACGTACAATGGAAGTGAGTATTTTTAAGAAGTTCATAATTAAAAAATCCTGAAAACACTCTCTACTCTCAGTCTTTAATTGCAATATCTTAACATCAAAACACTAACCTAACCTAACATCAGGTTTTGGTAAATTAAGTCACGGCTTTGACCTGAAAGATGATCGATTAGGTGAAATTTAATAGAAATCACCCACATTTTGGTCCGGTTGAGTTTTGAAAGTTGTGGGAGCGAGCAAATTTCGATGGCGACTGTTGACACACAGTTTCAAGGTTGCCGTTACAACAGACGTGACGACTGCTTTGATTGACTTAAACCAATTCATATTATAAAAAATCTACTGACAAGATATAGCATAATGTTTTTTTTATAGAATAGGACACTCCTGGACCTCTCATACCGTCACCGATAATACTTAATGTCAGAGGGCTTGCGAGTGCGTTGCCGGCCTTTCAAGAATTGGTACGCTCATTTTTTTAAGGGGGGCCCTAAGTCGAATTAGGTAACGCTTCAGTGGACCTCATTGTGGTGGTGCGTGGCAATAACTGCTTTAAATAACGCTCAGTTGTAGAACCACGGACGTCGATGTGATATAATGTCGATGAAGTTTAATATAAGAAAATCTGAGGCCAGCTTTAAGCAGTCATACATTTAATAAAACATTTTGAGATTAAATCCATCAAGACAGTACTTAAGAGAACTAACAAACATCCTTTTAACATCATTTCTTAGCTTAGACTAAACAGGAGTCCTTGCTGTGTATAATCACAGTATTTATAGATTTTCTGGGCTAATTTCCAGCCCTCAAGCTTTTATAAGCAAGAGCTCACACAAATGCGAAAAAACCTCCTTGGCGTAGACACATCTTTAGGTAAGTTCTCAGTCCTTGTTCAAATAGAAATCGTATAGCTTTTGTCGTGTCGTCCGATGTAAACAGCGAGGCAACGATCGCAGGTGTAGGCCGAAGAGTTAGGAATTTGCGTGGCCGAGGTGTCGCGGGCGTAGCGTGGGCGCCGCCAGTTCGCCCACGGGCGCCGCACCTAGCCATACCGCCGCCGTTGTGAATGTAACACTTAAAACTTAAGGCGTATTATTTATTAACTTAACATATAACAAGATCTCGCTACTGTGAACTCTATGTGAACATGAAGGTATATTGACTGTATTCGGAAATATCCGTTTGGCACTAAAGTTGGAACAGTTTGGGTTCGATAACATGTATAGAAAACGCTGACAATTCAAAATTTTGCGTCTATATAGTATAAATATAGTACAAACAAAAAATATGTAAAAGAATTCCTACCAACATTGGTATTTTTCGCCTTTCGTCACCCGTTCATTCGTATTCCCCGTGTCAATCAAATGAACCTTTATTTTACAACATTTTTTATGTTATTTGTCCATTGAATAATTTATACACTCCACACGACTAAGCAGACATAAGGTCGACATTAATATGTGCTGAGCAATTCAAGTTCTATTTAAGATTTTGATCACTTTGCCAGTTACCACACTGAAGACAAGACAACTAAATTGCCTGATTTAACATGCAGTACGCATGGTCGACGCGTATATATCTTTTATAAATAGATGTTTTAATTTGACAAATAAAAATCAGTAGCGCTACAACCTCTTTAGGTCTGGGCCTCAGATATCTGAAATGTTTCATGGTCATTTTTAAATGTAATAGGCAAGTAGGTGATCAGCCTCCAATGCCTGACGACGGTTGACTTTTTTGGTCTAAGACATGTCGGTGGCCTCACAATGTTTTCCTTCACCGTTCGAGCGAATGTTAAATGCGCACATAGAAATAGAGTCCATTGGTGCACAGCCGGGGATCGTACCTACGACGAAGCCACTAGGCCAACACTGCATCAATTTTACAAGTAGGTACTGTACGTAAAAACTTCCAAAAACTAAACGTATATACATTTTTATTTGAACTACAAAATTAGGACAAACACATGTTATAACAAACAAATAGACTTTAATATTAAAATGGTGGCTTCCCTATAATATTTGGATATGATAAGCGGAATCAAGTAACATACAAAAAAGGGTTAACCAAAATAAAAATTAAAAAAAAACTACAAAACAGACAAAGTGAAATTAATTGTATTTTAATTCGACTTTTGGCCTAGATTAAGGTAGTAGAATTGCTTTCTGCTTTTAATTACTGCTAAGCCAAATAAATAAACCGTTCAAAAAGTGAATTAAAAGTGAAGAAGAGTTTCTTTATATTAACAGCGTTTAAGAGTTACGTGCAAATAAGTAACATAACACATACAGAAATAAGCCACGTATTGACGGATAAAAAAATATTTGAATATGGGCCTATAGTGGTGATTGGTGCGAGATTGTGGTCTATGTTTGTGTCGTAGAGTAGAATATCAAAAAACACCGGTGGTGGAAAGTGATGTCATTGGCCGACGCCCTGCAACGTTGCTCGGTCCACGAGCTCTGTCACTACTTTTGATTTTTGACCATTGTGTACATCCTACACACGTCATCCGTACGGAATTCTAACATCTGGGGGAGTCGAAATAACGCTTGCAACATGTTTGCAAGGTATTGAAAAAAATATTGAAATATAATCCTGGTAGAATATACATCTGAAAGGATACTTTTCATTATTCAACATTTTATTCCAATGTAGTAGGAAAGTATAGACAGTAAATATATACGAGTATTTATAAATCTTTGAAAAATTAACGTGTTCGATAAAAAAAAAGTTCAGTTTCATATGGGGAACATATTGAATTGACAATGCAAATAATGCTGGATTGTATGATACAAATTATGCAGTGTTTTTGAAACTTTACAATAATTTGAGTACTGTAGGACAAATACGTCCGTTAATTACTTATTAAAAATAAATTTGACAAAATACCAATTCCTAATGCCTAAATGTATTGGAAATAGTAAAGCTTTGATAGTGATCCGTAAATACCGTTTTTTAATTACATACATTCACAGTTCATCAAACAGTTATTAAAAAATCTTTAGAATACATAAATGTATGCGAATTACATTTTCTATTCCTAAATAGTGGGTGCATGTTTTAATTACAGTAGGAAACAACCAATTTCTTACGCAATATTATGGCTCGGGATCAGTGACACTCATATTTTAGACCTCTGTTGCCAACCGTCGCGTCGATTTATATTAAATTAAAAGTTATATTTTACTAACTTTCGTCTCAATTACGTTCGACGTGGATAATGTTACCTATCAGAAATTGTTAAGTAATTTTACCTTGTTAAATCCGATATAGGATTCGGTATTTCGACATAATCGTATTTTTGTAAATACTGAATAAAACTCTGTAAAACTTTAAATACTTTAGTTAGATATTAATATACAAAATTTGTTTAGGTTTGCTCAGATGTTTTCTATTAATAAAATTTGATAACGGACCCGAGAAAGCTCGAATAATACACAAGATATTAATAACATTTTATATTTATAAAACACTAATTTATGGCCAATATATTGTCTGGAATTAAAGGTTTAATTTAAATTTAACAATACTCATTTGTTTTAGTTCTTACGCTTACACGTAAAGCATTCTTCTGTAAACAAATGAATTAAGCTCTCACACTTTTGTGAGTATGCAAAAGTTTTCTACAGTTGTGGTCATATAATGCTAGCAGGCCGAGTATCGCGCCGCGGCCGTAGCGATGAGCCGGACGGCCTCACGGAAGGTCACCGCCGCGTTGCCCCCTCCCCGCCCGCTAACCGCTCACTCCCCTCGTCCCACTCCTACGACCGCTACGTGGAATTTATGTAATTGCCTTCAATTAAAATGAGAAGAATTTTATACAGCTCCGTCTAACACACGCGAGATCAAATCTATCGTTTCGCATACGCGGATCAGCTAAGGTCACAAGTCGTGAATGGACTCGTGACAACTATTCATTCAATGATCAACTTTGTTTATGAACGACACTAAAATCCTCACAGAAATATCATAAATGCGTTGTCTTTTACGCAATTAAACTGCGCGTTTGTTTTTAAAGTATTGGCGCAAAACTTTTGTTTCATTAAATCAAAAAGTCATCGTTTTGTGATTTCTGTGACGGATCTGTGGACAAAATAAACGTATGTATAGATTCGTCTTAAATCTAGGATCTCTGGTTTAGATGAGACACCGAGGCGTTGTTTGATTAATTTAACTGATATTAAAGTTTGTAGTAAAATTAATTATATCAAAGAAAATTTAAAAATATGAGAGTAATCAACAGAACCATATACGATATATCACCCACCACAAAGTCCTACCTTTTGCATAATTATCTTTCGTTGAAATTTATGATTTTATGCTTAAAGCAAATGGGATAGATAAAATTTTATGAGACTAGATTTCTTTTACTATTGTTTAATATATTCTACTTGAAGATATGGCATTTTTATTTTTATTATATTTTGAATAAAATAATTTCTTTTATAGATAAAGATTGATTTTTATAGTATAAAAGTGTACATAATATGTTAAGGTAATTTGGCGAAATTTCTTCCATATATCTACCGTATATCTTATTTCATGAAGCTTTGTATAAAACTGAACAATTTTACAATTTTAAATCCTCTTTCTTTCCAAAAAACGGTCAATATTAGGTACAAGGTATAAGTACCAAGTAACGTTTTGAGTTACGTTTTGAATTATAAACCCCACTCT